ACCATTTCATTAGAAAGAAAGTGTTTACGAAGTATGTGTTCACAAAACATAGAATACATAAGCAAATAACAAAACAAGACTTGGAGCTATACTGCTCCATCTTCTGAATTCCCAGTGCGATTACCTGTCTATTAGTTACCTGAGAATATAAGTTATTTTGAAAGAGTTGATCAGCAATTAAGCTGGTGAGTTCATAAGATTTTAGTGATGTAAGTATGTTGTAGAAAGCTTAGTAAGTTGTAGAAAGTTGTAAGTTTTGGTTTAGAAAAGTTCGCATGTTCCTCCATAAAATCCTATATTTCCTGCTTTGATGAAAGATAAGTAAAAATGACTCTACAATCCTTTCTATGGGTACTAAATGGATACCAATTATATAAAACTTAGAGTAAACAAACAATCGATTGTATGTATCTGCCCTAAGCCCATAACCAAACAAGGAACAAGAAATGAGGTGGATGGCACACATCCCATTGGTTGTTAGATCCTTGTTGCATATAACCCTGGAGTATTCCCTTGGTACTCACGGAGTTAACTGTAATAGTTCCTTTATATTTGATGAAAAGATTCTTTAAGAAAACCCTTATTTCTTATAATAAAAACAGTAACGACAGTGGTTCCTTCTATAATCACTTAGTTTATACTAGCTATATATAATCTAATATCGAACATATAGTTAATTGTGTGGATCTACCCTAAGCCCACAACCAAACAAGGAACAGGGAATGAGGCGGAATGCACACATCCAACTACCTATCGGATATTAATTATATATAATCTTGATGTATAAACTAAGGTATTGTAGGATTAACCACCTAAGGTCCTTTAAGTTATACTGGTTTAATAAAATGGATTAAACCCTTTACTGGTAAGTTTCTAGTTTTGTATACCAAAAGTTCTATTTGAAAAGTATGTTTTGTACTAGAAAACTGTGCATTGAATTACTGTCTTATGACCTGACCCATACCTGGTACCCCTTATGATGACTTAATTTATACGGAATATATATAACTAAGATCGAATGGATAATAGGCTGGGTAAATCCGCTCTAAGCCCACAACCAAACAAGGAACAGGAAATGAAGTGGAAAGCACACATCCTATCACCTGTCGGATCCTATTAACATATATCCCTTTATGTATAAATTAAAGAATCATAAGGTTAGCATTATAGGTCCCCTTCTACTGAATATTCATGTTACGACTAAGTTATGTATCTTGTTTATTATCGTCGGGTACTTTACAGATGTACCCTTTTTAAATGACTTAGGTTAGGTATAACTATTATTAAGTTTATCACCTCGTGCCTGCTAGTCCTGGTACGTGAAATCGTACCAGTGTCAACGAAAACCCGGAAAGATATATTATTAAGTTTATCACCTCGTGCCTGCTAGTCCTGGTACGTGAAATCGTACCAGTTTCAACGCAAACCCGGAAAGATATATTATTAAGTTTATCACCTCGTGCCTGCTAGCCCTGGTACGTGAAATCGTACCAGTGTCAACGCAAACCCGGAAAAATATATTATTAAGTTTATCACCTTATGCCTGCTAGTCCTGGTACATGAAATCGTACCAGTGTCAACGCAAACCCGGAAAGGTATATTAACGTGTTTTTCCTGGTACTTAGTATAGTGTGTTCCTCTCTGTACTTGTTATAGTGTGTTCCCCTATGTACTTGTTATAGTATATTCCTCTCTGTACTTGTTATAGTATGTTCTCTTTATATTATCGTGTATTGTATCTAATATAAACTGAATCTCTAAACTATACCCCTTATAGTTTACTAGGGTTTTACTTGTACTATTATAGAAAAGACTCATTTTACTACTAAGTTATGCTTGTACTTAAAAAAACGGAGTTTTGTTAAACTATAAAGTAACATAACTTGAAAAGATCCTTTGAAATGTTTTGATCACTTATAAAGACATAAGCAATCTTTTTAAAGATGATTATAACAAACATTTACACAATTATCATTGTGTTCAACTTGTATTCCCCCCTAAAAGCACTTAAAACAGTTAAAAGATTCATTACGGGGTATGAACTCACCTGATGTGGGTGATTCAACGAATATGCGCGTGAGGATGAGGAGTTCCATGAATGAAGTCCCGAGACTTAACGAGTCCTAAATGACATATAATGGCATATATTGACATAAATATAGTGTTTAGAAGAAACCAAATGCAAGGAAACACCTCACGGGACTAGGAAACACTTTGACCAAGTGTTGGAATCACATGTGATTGAACTAAGGGGAGTGTATGGCCACCAATGGAGTTTACGGCCATGAGTTTACGGCCAAGGGAGTTTACGGCCATACACTCATGGTCAATCATGCCAAAGTGTGTGTTTTAAGATCCTACAACATCCATTAAAGGTTCAAGGTCTAAGGCTTGTACTTTCAGAAGGGTTTGTGGCTAAAATGTCACACTTATAGGTGTTTACGGCCATGGGTTTATGGCCATGGAGTTTATGGCCGTAAACTCATGGTAAAAGGTGCATGAAAAAGTGTTTCAAGGTCTTACAAAGCACAAGGGAGTGTTCTAGCCTCAATTCCAAGCCTTAGGAAGAGTTTAAGGCTCAAATGCACCACTAACTAGGGTTTACGGCCAAGGGAGATTGCTTGGCCGTAAACTCCTTTTGTTCATGCATTCTTGATGAATTCAAGGTTCTAATCAGGTGTTTCAACTAGATAACAAGCTAAGGAGAGAGTACTTACGATATAGAGGCTTGAAATGGTGATTAAGGTCCAAGAACACTAGTGTGTGTTCTTGGTGTTCTTGGTGAAAGTTGAAGATTTGAAGATCTAGCAAAATGGAATGATTTCATGGATGAAATCAAAGAGTTATTCATGATTAAGAAGGATATTAACAACTAGGGTGAAGAACACTTACGTTTTTGAAGATCTAAGATGAAGAACTTGATGATACTTGAGAGAGAAATGGAAGTTCTTGAGTTTGAAAGTGAAAGAATGAAGAAAAGTTGGAGGATATGAGATTATAAGGAGGAGTTTACGGCCAGCCTTGAGTTTACTGCCGTAAACTCTTGTGCATTGGCCGTAAACTCCATATGATGGAGTTTAGGGCTTGGGTGTTGTACAGTGGCTTTAGCAGGTACTTCCCAACACTTATTCCTTAAGTGTACAAGGCTAAAACTCCTTAGAATGACCTTTAACAAGGCTAGAAATCATTAGCAACGAGTCTGACACTCAGTTGAGTTGACTGACTGAGCTTTCAAAGCAAAAAAATTTCGGGTTGTCACAGTGACTAACATGAGTCTTAATGGTTATTTTTGGATGTTGGGTCCCTTTTAAACATGCAACCTGATAAAGTCGCCAACTTTATTAGTTAAGGGCTTGTATTGAAGCTTCCCTAAGGATTTGATGCAATGGGCTGAAGTGATTAAGTCAATATTTGAGTTTTGGTCCTGAGCAGTTATGCCCCGCGTAAGGTGCAGTACACCCAACGTGCTGATTAAGTCCCCAGATCAGGTGGTGCGTGTACGCTGAGCGTACCAAGGGAGGTACGTCCTGTGTAAGCTCGTTGTGGGCTTTTTGGGCTAGAATCCATTTGGGCCTTAGGTGTTTGGAGTCTTGATTTGGGATTGCTGGATTGGGGATTTTTGGGCCAGAGGAATATATATAAGTTTTGGACCCTGGTGTTGGGCTTGCTATTTTGGACCTAAGTTTAGGGTTGGGCTTAGATGGGCCCATTTGGTATTGGGCCTTGGTGGGCCCAATGGGCTTGGGCTATTTATGGGCCGGATTAGTGGACTATCTTTAGACTTAATGTGTGTATGGGAGCTTGGTGTTAAATCCTAATCGAGTTCAGTTTTGGGTTTGGCTCAGTGTTTAGGGCCAGTGTGCAGCAGCAGCAGTTGTAGGATTTGTTCATCATCCGAGGTGAGTCTTCTCACTATACTTACCTGTGTGGAAATGCATGTGTGACCGGAGGGTCTTTTCATATTATTGACCAGAGGGTCTTCTTTATATTATCGACCGGAGGATCTTATTCGTATTGTTGACCAGAGGGTCTTATTTGCTTATACTGATATATGTTATTATGCATCCTGTCTTTGTGACTTATGTTGTTATATTATTTTGTGTATATATTGAGTTATGACCGGGGGGTCCATACCGAGACGTGAGACCGGATGGTCTTCACTGAGACACATAACCGGAGGGTCCTTATCGAAATTTAGCCACGAGAGGCTAATTATTTGTGTATGTGGTATTTTGGGGGACTCATTAATCTTCGTGCTTACAGTGTTGATTTAAATGTGTTTCAGGTACTTCTGTAGATTCCGGGAATGCGGAGACATGATTGTACACATTCGCCGGCTTATGATGTCTTGTGGATTTTGGGATATGCTAATATTATTTTGATAATGACTTATAATTTATGTGATGACTTGGATTATGAGTAATGTTTGGTAAATTAAAAATAAAAAATTTGTCTTGAAATTTAAGGTGTTACATCTAATAAATATTTATGTATGCAATGAGAGGTTCCAACCTAAGTATCAATCCAAAATATAGTAGATACTCAAACAATCAAGTTATCAATTTAGAAAACTGAACAATATATTACGCGATCCATAAATAAGATTTCTAGGAGTTGTGATATCAGTTTGCCCATTTTCGTCCCCTTATTTTCTAAGAAGCAGTGCAATTTTTAAAGTATTATGAATATATAAACACATAATTGGTAAACCAGGACAAAACCATAACAAAGATACTTAAACCGACGAATTTAAATTACCATAAAAAATAAGAGAAAATATATTATATATTATTGAAAAATAAAAGAGAAAACTCTCTCTCTCTCTCTCTCTCTCTCTCTCTCTCTCTCTCTCTCTCTCTCTCTCTCTCTCTCTCTCTCTCGCTCTCTCTCCTTCTCTTCTCTCTCTCTCTCTCTCTCTCTCTCTCCTCTCTCCTCTCTCTCTCTCTCTCTCTCTCTCTCTCTCTCTCTCTCTCTCTCTCTCTCTATTCTCTCATCGCTGTATATGTATATATAGATAGTAAATTTAATGAAGAGCAAAGTGGTTTGGTTGTGTATAGGCAAAGAAAGCGACCCTGAAAGCACCATCTTCTTGCACTTCTTTCACTCCATAATCAGATCCGATCAAATCAATCATAGAGAGAGAGAGAGAGAGTGATGGATCAATCGAAGGTATTGATGGTGGTGCTGTTTTTCATGGTAAGTTTAAACATCAATGGAAGAGGAGGTGTTGCAGGTTATAAGAACTACACTGTAGGAGACGATCTGGGTTGGTTTGATAAGCTTGAGAAGACGACTGTCAACTATCAGAAATGGGCTTCTTCAAAGACCTTCTCTCTTGGTGATTTCCTCGGTATGTATCCTCAATCTCTTAAAATTTTGGATTTTTCTTTAATTTTGTGGGAATTATCTTTTATAATTTGTGTGAAGATGATAAAAAGGCATGTGATCTGTAACATGGTATAAACGGAAACTTGTATATGAATCTGCTGTAAAGTAAAAAATTACTATAAGCATATAGTGGTTGCCGACAAATTTAACATATTGCTTGTTTCTTAGAAACTAAAAGTAACTCCTACCCAAAGCCATTTATGAGTTCAACACCATTTTTGAAGTTAAAATGTTCTAATCCAACTCCATTTCCATAACCAAATATAGAATACTTATCAGATTACTCTAAAAATAAAGTAATACTATTCAACTAATCCATTTTTTACATCAATTATTTTCATTATAGTTGGTAATTGATTTTTTTTTCAAGTAGAGTTAAGTCATGTCATGATCGTATATATAAATTGTTCTTTGAAATAAAGATCACATGCAGTGGGGAAAATAGGCAGGTTCGATTCAAGAACCGGTTCGACCCTTTCACCATTGCGAAATGACACATGGCATGTACCACTCCTAGAGGATCAGGTTCCCTTTCCATGACTTGACAAAAAATAATAAAATAAAATTGATCCAAACACATGTAATTTAGATAACATATTTATGTTATATATATCCTTCCTTTTTTTTTTTTTTCCAGCCCTGAACGTATGAACTTGATTTAATAAAACAGTTTAATTAAACATGAAGTATTATGTAGTTAAGAAAATCTTGATGATATTTTTAAAATGATCTTACTTAATTTTTAGTATTATTCATTTTGATATTAATTTTAGTTTTATTGTAAAAAAAAAAAAAAAAAAAAAATTTAAAATTTACTTTTAAACACACATCTCTGATCTACTCCTAAATTTACATATTTGTCCATTGTGGACTTAAACTCTCAACCATATAGAAAACACATTTTCCAATATTACTTGATGCCCCCGCACCAAATGGCCTTTGGTTGAAACTTTTTGTATTAAAAAGTAGACTTCAGAACGTACTTATTTGACAATTTTCTTACGATCTTAAATTTATATATATAATTTTAGGAAATTGTCAGAAAAATCGTAATATTCTTGAAAAAGTTTCACTTTAGTCTTAAAACAAAATTTAACATAAAAGTCTCGATTATTTCAATTTGGCTCAAAATAACAAAATTCATTTTTTTTTCTTTTAACAGGAAATGACATATTATCATGTAAAATCAAATATTAAGAACTTTTTTATTAAAAAAAATTAGACTAAAATGAAATTTTTCTGAAAATATTAGAATTTTTTTGATAATTTCCCTATAATTTTTAACAATGGATTCTTACTGGTTGTTGGGCCAGAAGCCCATTAATAGAAGCTACTATTGGTTGCTTTTGATGTAATAATATTATTATTAATCACTCGTCCACAACTTACAAAGAATCAAAAAAATATCATTCATGATATTGTTGATTAATTATTCATATATGTTTTCTTATTTTTTGTCAGCTAAATGTAACGGTTTTGGTTTTTAAAAACAGTTTATCCCACGGTAAAACCCAACTCATTTAGCCCGTAAGAAGGAAAACAAATGTTAAATCCACACAAACTTATTTCTCTCATGTCTATCGAAATCATATTTCATACTGATGTGATACAGTCATTCATAAATCTTATTTGTAACTAGAAATTACGGAAAGTCTAAACAATTTTCTGGTCTCAAAAAGATATCATGCATTATTAACATAATGTCATAACATATATTTTAAAATATATATATGGCTGGTTAATGTCTTGCATGATTGACAAAACTATTAAAAAAAGTAGTAGGTTGTACTACCAGCAGTAGTATTTGTACAGTTTCTAATCATTAACAATCAATCAAAGTCGCTTCCATAGATTTGTTTTTACTAAATAAATGTGTTTTCTATGTGTCATATATACACAGTTTTCAACACCGACAATAATCATACAGTCGTACAAACATACAATTCCACCATCTACAACCTCTGTGATGACAGCAATGCTCTTGATAACGACACTTTCCAATACGCATCACCAGACCCATCGGCCTCCATCGTCCACCCTGTCTCCGTCGCCGTCCCCCTCCTCAAAGTCGGACCCACCTATTTCTTCTCAAGTGATTACGATGGCGAGCAGTGTGAGAATGGCCAGCGGTTCAGCATCAATGTCACATACGGTCAAGGTTTGCCACCAAGTTTGAGGACTCCGCCACCAGGAGCTCCAGGGCCGGTAGGCCAACAGTCCGGCGATGATACAGTGCCGGAGACAACGGTCCCAGCTAACTTTGATCACCCGAAAGACATTAGTGACGATGGTGATGATGAGAGTGAGGATGGGAAAAAGAAGAAATCAATGGCGACGATTATAGGAAGCTCGAGATGGGTGTTTAGTTGGAGTTTGATACTGGTAGGGTTACTTTATACTTGTTTGTAGATTAATGTTTTTCATATTCTGTTTAAATTATTATTTTATTGTTTGTGAGTTGTATGGGAGGGTTAACGATTAGATAGGGATTGTGTTACATTGTGTTCTTGTTGTTTTGGGAATAAGTCATCATAGAAAGGGTTGCTAAAGATTTCATAAGAATAAGGATCCCATATATTCATGAGTTTTAGAATTCTTACAATATTGTTTTATATTTTTGACTTTCTTTCAATATGAAAAGTTATGAAAAGTTAGGAGTTGTTAGACATGTTTTTATGAATTTGATAAAAGATCGAGTCTAACTCGTTTATTTGTTACATGACCAAGTCTTTGAAAATCAAACTTGGATAAGACCAAATTGAGAGAAGACCAATTTGAGAAATTAAGAAATTGAAATCTCTAATTGAATCGATATGAAAGTATTACACGTTACATATATATAAGGGATAATGACTTAAAAGGGTAACATATTTTCCGATTTGTACACGTTTAGTCACTAAGTTTTTTTTTTGTCCATATTTTACCATTGAACTTGTTGAACTGTTCAAAAAAACATCCTTATGACTTGCTATAGGAGGTTTAGCCGGTTTTTCGGCGTTCTTGTGAGTTCCGGCGAGTCTCCGGTCATCTTCTCCGGCCAAACATGAATTTTTTCCGACAACTTTGTCATCTCTAGAAACCAACAAGTTTGAAAGGTTCCAAATTCGTGGGGTTTTAAGGAAGAAAAAGACCATGGCAGATCTGGTGTTCTTGGTTACAAGAACCCAAGAACTCATATTTCGATTTCAAAAGAAGAGGGCTGTGAAGATGAAGGGGCTGTGAAGTTGAACACGAAAACCATCAGAAACCCATATCTAGCACCATTAGAAATCCCAAAGCTCGATTTCAGATTTAAGTTCATGTGTGTGTGTGTTTTTAGATTCGAGTTTTGGGTTCATAAATCAAAACGAGAAAAAAGAGGTTTTTTGATCAGAAAATCAAATGAAGATGTTTGGAGATCTGAAAATCGAATGAAGAGATCTGGATTTAAACTCGAATGAATAGATCTGAAAATCGCTACAAACCTTAAACATCATTTGATTTCAGATCTGAACACTTCTGGAGCTCTTTTTTTTGGGAAGAAGATGAACATGATGAAGACGAACACCTTCCTGAAATCGATGAATACACCATGTTTGAAGGTTTTCAAGGGAAGCTTCGAGCATCAGATCTGGGTTGAAGACAATAAACATCATATATGGGTCGGAGTTTGAATATGATGAACATCATATAAGGAACAATACTCAGATTTCAAAACACGATGTAGCTTCAAACCCATTTTCCAAATATGACCTTCAAATCGATTTCATCCATGGAGTGTATGTCGGATCTAACAAAACAAGCAGGTGTGTGTTGGAAATCGTTTCCAGATGGATTCTTCTTAAATAAACTCGAAATCTAGAGTTTTTCGGATGGATTTGTTCATATTGTGTTTCGGATCTTTATCTAGTTCATCAGGGTTGTTCATCGTTTTCATGAGAGTTTCTTCATATTTGAGTGCATGTGTTTGTTAAGAACATGAACCCAGATCTGGATGTGTGTATGATTTTGTTATTTGACAGATTTTCTATAAATGATTTATCAGATTTGAGTGTGTGTATATGTGGGTTAGATCAGAACACGATCCTAGGCTCAAGAAATTGTTTCAGGTTTGCTTAAGAACACTATGGTCGGAGGTTGAAGACGATGAACAGTGATCTGATGGAAAATCATAAGTGTCGGAGTTTTTTAATTCGTCGGAAAAATCAGGAACGCCGGAGAAGATGACCGGAGCTGTCAAATACGCCGCAAACCGGCTAAACGTTCAATAGCAGGTCATAAGGATGTTTTTTGAACAGTTCAACAAGTTCAATGGGAAAATGTGGACAAAAAAAAAACTCAGTGACTTAATGTGTACAAATCAAAGAATATGTTACCATTTTAAGTCATTATCCCTATATATAAATACACTTGACGCATGTAAAAATATTTTATACTTAGTTAAAATAGAACAAAGTATGTGATATTAAATACAACTAAAACATTGTTATTAACAAATACATAATAATTTTATAAAATAATTTTTAATATTATCATTATAAATTTTTTCATAAAATATAAGGTTAGAACTTGGGGTTGTGTATATACAAAGTTACATAGTTAAAATAAAAAAAATGTAAATTGCTAAAATAATTAAGTTATATTGTTATTTATTAAAATAATAAATTCATTCAAATTAAAAACTTTATCTTAAATATTATCATTATGTAGAACATACGATACCAGAAACATCTTTTATAAGGTTGAAACTTTAAATTGTCTTAGTTATAGGATTGTAAAATTTGGTCAACTCAACCAAATACTTGACAAGTTACTTGGACTCGGCTTCCAACTAATGTGAGTTTGGCCAACTAGGCCAACAGACTTGAATATTAATCATACTCGATCCAAATCGGTCAAACTCGAGTCGGTTCAACTCAATATACCCAACAACATAAAGTTTTTTTTACTATAAACTCGGTTTGAACCAAAAAAAAATCTAGTCAAAACCATTTTCAAAATTCTAAGATATAACTAGACAGTTGTCAATAAAGACAATTTCACCAAAGAATACCTTTAATGTCCTATAAAGGAAGGGACAAGGGAGTTCTCATGCCTTGGCCCATTTGAAACATTCACAACCTTTTTTTCATAGAGGATAAATATTATCTTGTTTACTCTCCTCATCGACGTGAGGTGAAGACATTTTAATAATATTCATTTATTTATTTCTTAATAATTCCATTTTGATAAAATAATACATAGTTATATAAAATAAAGAAAAAACTTCATAAATGGTCTATGTGCTTTCCAGAAATCTGTCATATAGCCCTTAGTTCAAAAACCTCAAGGGTGGTCTCTATGGTTCCAAAGCTTTTAACAAACAGTCCCTCATCCACATAAAAAGACTTATATGTCTTTTCTATTTATTTTTAGAATTAATTTTAACCTAATCCTATTTCCAAAAATAGAAAAACAAAATAATAATTCATTGGGCCTCTCTCTCTCTCTCTCTCTCTCTCTCCTGGGGGTAAGAACACAATTCTTCTTTTTTCTTTGATCGTAACAAGAAAAAAATCAAAAAAATAACCCTAAACCACTCTAGACCACCATCGCCAGACCACTTCTGGAGCCCTTGAACCGAACCGCCGCCACAGTTTCAGCCTCCGTCGCCAGAGCACGTTTCGAATCTCGCCCCCACGTATCGATTCATCACAAGTTCATCATCAGCATATCCATCACCACTATGATGAGAACCATTTGTTGTGCAAGTGAAATTGATGCTTTTAAAAGTAAAGAATGGTTGAATCGATGCTCTAAAGATAGATAAGATATGTTGTATGCTAGGTTGATAGATTTCAAGGACCAAAACCTCAAGGATCCAACATCCATGGTTACTCATGAATGTCGGCCATACAATATTCAAGGCCATCCCACCGACCACCGCCCTATCTACGACGGGGATTCGTTATCCTCCCTCATAAAAGAAGTTTGATCAGAAAAGAATGATGGGATGGTAAGCCCTTTGCATTTTGATTCGTTATAGTTATGATTCTTTGTGTTTGCAACTAAAGAAGGATGGGAGTATTTATAGATCTAACAATTGAGAAGTGAGTGAAGCAGGGGTGAAGATGAAAGGAAGCAGGAGATATGTCGATGAAGGTGATTTTGGATTTTAGAGTTTGGATTTTAGAAAACAGGGATGACGATGAAAGCTCAAACTCGATTTTTTATTTACCAATTGGAGGTTGCGGTTATGAGACCAAAACCAAAAAATAAAACCAAGACTTGGAAACCAAAATCCCCATTGTTTCGATGGGTTGTACATGTTAGATATTTTAGTATAAATATTTATATTTTTACTAACTTTGGACAAATATAAATATATACATATGTTGTATATATAATTAAATCTAAGTGGGTTTGTGTTCTTCTCTGTGAGAGCTTCGAAACGATATATCGTATGTCCAAAATGGAGTATATGTGAATAAGATATCAATACTCAAAAATAGGTATTTAAGAAATAAAAGTTAGCAAGTGATGTGGGTGTGGGAATGAGTTCCACATTGGTAGAGAGACCATACTCAAGTGAGTTTATAAGCTTGAATGTATGGGCTTACAAGCTTGTATATATGGTTTTACTCCAACTCCTACACGTATAGAGGGGTACGAATTTTGGATATTGTAGGACAAATACACCGAATTTGTGTGTGGGCGTGCCCTGCGGACACGAATGAAGCTCTGAAAACTCGGGGCTCACACAAACCTTGTTTTTGCTAGATTTGACAGTTTTGGTCCTTGGTTTAAATTTTTGTAACTGATGCATTTATTGGCACAATTAAATTCCTTAATGACGAATTAATTTCTTGTTGTTACATAAAGCAGTATAAAAGCAGACCTCCACTTCCTCATTCGATACATATGAATATACTCATCTTCTTCCTCCTTTTCTCTACAACTATTTTCGGCGATTCGTTCAGACAAGTAGTCATATCCAGCAGTACACATTGTTTATGTTGTTGTGCCCTATGAACAAACAGTGAATTTGTTTAAGGGAATCGAGTCCAACTCGAGCCTCATCCACATAAAATTACTAACTTTTTTTCAGGTTATTCGATTCATAAACAGAGCCTAAAATTAACAGTGCCTTTATTTCTTAACCTTCATCTGAAAAATTAAACCAGGATGAATGATGACGAGAAGGTGTGTAACGTCCCAAAAATACCAAGTGAAAATTTTTCTTTAAGTCAACCCCAAAACAATCATTCATTCATTCCAAAACCCAATTAAAGTATAAAAACATGTCAATTAGTTATTAGAGTACAAAACAAGTCATAGAATGTGGAACACTGGTGTATGCGATGCAATCATGTCGATCTCTTCCCCTTGGAACCGGGAGTACCTGAAAAAATAAACATGAGTCCGTAAGCACAAATATTAGTGTGTTTCCCCAAAATAACGCATACCATACATACATATCAGCTCGAAGTTGTAACGGGTCTATTTCACCCCAAGTCTATTTCAACTCAATCGGTGTTTTTCAACCGAACGGGTCTATTTCACCCCCAGGCCTATTACACCCCACATACATAAGCATACAAGCATATCAACAAGAGTCACAAAGACAACAAGCACATATAGGCATATCACCAAGTGTCATAAAAACAACTATCATTCTACAAACATAATCCAGTGGGTCGACATTGGTGCCTTCGACCCATGAGTACAGTGAAGGGACTCACCTCGATCGGTACAAGAATAGATCTCACACACGATCTGTCGGTGCTAAATCTCTCCCACTAAACATATCCAAAACCAAACCCTAATTAACAATTAAGGTGGTAATCCATAATCAAGTATCCTAATTACATTCTCTCTTTCTAGGATAAAAGACCATTTTACCCTTCCATGAGTTGACCCCACCCACTTGACTAAAAGTACAATTTTGACCAATTACACTCTCTGGTGCTATGTCATGCGTACACCATGCTCTATGCGTTGCGTAGAGCCTTAGAGGGAAGTATCGGGGAACAATTGAGCTACGCTGGGCGTAACCTAAGTTACTCCCTGCATACCATGCAGTTAAGCCATTTCTATTTTTAGCTCTTAATCCATAAATACCAACCATCTATTGCTCAGATCTCGTCCTAATAAATGTCTTAAGTGATAAAGTAGATAGCTTTATACCTTTGTATGGCTAAATGGAGCTCAAAATCAAGCCCTAGTCCCATAACATTCATTAATGACCAAAAACTCTTGCATGGGAGAATGAACACAACCAAGATCCCATTTTTTATTACTCATTAACCTCAGAAACAACAAGAAATGACAACCACAAGGTCTGTAGTAGTTTATACTCACAAGACTCGAGATTATGGGACAAAAGAACATGAAAACCAATAAGCTAATAAGATCTCACACATGGACCAACAAGGTACAAGCTTTATACCTTTTGGAGTTGGCAAATGGAATGAAAACTCTAGATATACAAGCTTGAGCTTCACCAAGATTCAAAGATGAGCTTCTCCTTCTTCAAAATGCACCACAAAACACACAAAAGGCTCAAATTTAGCTAAAGAGGATTAGGGTCTTGAGTTGGGTGTCAAAGAGGATGGAGGTTGATGGTAAGAAGGGCCTCAAGGGGTTAGAGTCCTTAAATAG